TCTGTGGGCTCAAGAAAGGCAGCCTGGCACTGGATTTAAATCCCAGCAGATGAAATATTATTTATTCAGGAAAATGTGTGACTGAACGAAAGTGAATGAGACACAGGTGGTTTCCTGATCTCTGGCACACACAGGAGCAGCAGGGCATCTGCCTGACAAGCCCATACATACACACACACACACCACTTACACACGGTTGCCCCATAACAAGGCCACACACACTGTTAAAAACCAAAGGCCCCAGATGGAGTCACTTAAGCTAAGCCCAAAGGTGCCCAAACCAAGACTCAATCATAGTTTTGATGGAGGACAAGAGTAAAAAAAAGGGCCTCCCTGGTGGCGCAGTGGGTTGAGCGCTGCACTGTGAAGCTCTCCGCAGCCTCTGTAGCGTGTGTTCGATCCTGGCCGGCCTGCGAGAATCCCACATGGCGCAGCAGACCTCTCCTGTCTCGCCCGCTGCTCCCCTCAGCAGTGTATTTCCACAGTCTGCCGGTTCTGCTCCCCGCTCTGGCTCTGGTGAATCCTCTTACCCTCCCCGCGCATCTGACCTGTACCAGGTTCTTGTATTAAAAAAAAAAAAAAAAAAAAGAGTAAAAAAAAAAAAATCAAACTGAAAAGGAGGCACCACAAGACCAGAAACCTGGCAACACACAATGCCAAGAGCTGGAGGTGGAGGTAGGGGATTAGCATAGCCATTGACCCAGCTATAGAAACCAAGATTCTTAGGCACCAATGCCTAGATTACAAAGCATAAATTCCAAGCAGGTATCAGACTGCTGTAGGGAGTGTCTGGAGCACAGGCCCAAGGGTAAAGATAAGGAGATTGAGCCCATTGTGGAATCTCCATCCCTTTCAGATTCTGCATAGTTATCCAAAAGCAGCAACTGCCTGAAGGCTCACAAGGAGTGAGCCCCTCTCCAACAGAAGACTATGAGTGCAGCCTCTGCACTGGCTCAGGGCAGCAGTTCCTCTGCCCACCTGTGACTATGCAGGAGCTTCTTTTCACCAACTCTCTCCCTCTGCAGGGCAGCAGCTTCCTGCCTGCCCGTGACCTGTACCATGTTGGGACTTCACTAGCCTCCCTCAGCAGAGGCAGCTCTCCTCAAGGTCACTCGCCTGCAACCATGCAGGCCTCTCTCAGCAAACCTGCCCTTTTCGGGGCAGCTCGTCCTGCCTGCTTGTGTCGTGCAAGTGTCTTTTACTCTCTGTCCCTTTCTCTAATAAACCTGCCCTTTAACTATAACTAACGTCTCTGTCTCATGGAGAAACTCGCCTGGGAAACTTGCCACATGTCGCTGAAAGGGAGCTCTGGTGACACCTTTTCAGAGTGAGCCCAAGGACCCCGCACTCCAAACCCACTGACTCCAAAAATGCCATCAGTTTCTCCTCCCCAAACCAAAGCTCAATCAGTTTCACCTTCTTCAAGAAATGCAGCCAATCACTCAGGAAGCAGCCGGCCAGAAAGGATGAAGAGGGAAGGTGGGCCCCACCCCGCTGCTAAAGGAAAGTGAAACTGCCAATTGTTTTATCCCAGGCCAACTCCCACACACCCCCACACCCCCGCCTCCCCAGGGCCTGTCACTTCCTCCAAAATCCTTCTGCTCTTTCTCTATGCTCTAGGTGGGATGCTGCCCAGTCCATGAATCATAGCCTAAACCAAGAAGCTTTTGAAATGGTACTCAATTGAATTTTGTTTTTTTCAAGACAAACATTTTGGCTCTCAGGCACGTATTAGTTCAGTCTCATGCTGGAAATTCCCAGCCATTCATTTCTGTGTTTTTCTGACTGATCCTACCCTTTTGTGGAATGTCCCAAGGTCAAGTGTTACAGGGCAGGGAGAGGGGCAGCCCAAACACTGCAAAACTGCCTGTTCTAAATGGGTTCTGCCACCTGCCGCATCAACACAAAACATATGAGACTTTAATGGGAAGGAACTTTAATACAACTAGGAAACAATCCAGGAAAGGCAGAGTCTAGTTTCTAAATGAAGCACCCAAAGTTACCTGTCCCCTCTTGAGTAAAACTCCATCCAATTGGGATCAGCCCAGAATAAGGCCCCAAAGCCTGCCACAAGTCCAAAGCATCTTCCAGTGGGGACCCACAGAAAAGGGTCAGAAACAACCAGACAAGCCCGGAAGGAAAAGAGCAAAATCAAAATCAAGATAAAAGCTGCCATGGTCACCTCCCCACGGGTCTCAACCACATCTGTGTCACCCCGTCCACGACCAAAAGACAAGCGCAGTTTCTTCATGTGTCTCTAGGCTCCACGCGCCTCCTGCAGGTCTCCTTCTGGCTCCATCCTGCTTCCTTCCTTCCTCAGTCTCCTCTGCAGCCTCTTCTCTCCCTGCTCACCTCCACCCTCCCTTGGGTGGGGCAAGAAACCTGGAACCTCCCCCTTTCCTGGGGACCACCCTGTTACAAAAGGAGAGGGGAGGGCAACAGAATCGTGAAGGGCACCTGAGAAGGCAGGAAGGAAGCTCTGGAAGAGGCCACGAGGGTGCAGGTTTCCAGCCTCCCCTCTGGAGTCTGAATGCAGTAGGTCTGTCTGAAGTTGAGGCTCAGGAGTCTGTGGCTCATCTATTTGGAAACAGTGGTTAAGATTCAAGTTCTGGACAAAGATGTGGATTCATAGCCCAGCCCAGCTGCTTACAAGCTGACCTTGGGCACATCAGGAGTCCTTTGAGAGCCTCACTTTCATCATCTGCAGAGCATGTGATAAACATTAACTACATATCAAGTGGCTATTCATCATCATATTGTTAGTCTTGTTATTGTATCTTAGAGCCTTGCCAGTCCCATCTGAGACTGCAGAGGCCTCCAAGTAACCAGCAAAGTCTGTGGGAAGCAGGAATCACTTCTGTCTAAGGTTAGCTCTGTAAGTAAAAGAGACAATAACACGAGAACCCTCCAGGGTCCCAGGGGGAAATGCTGAGTCAGAAATCAGGCTTCTCCACTCTCCATCCTTCCCTCCTAAGATGGTGATTAAAAAGACAAAAACATACTCTACTTTCAGAGCCTCTGTTGAACTTTGGCATGGGGAAGGGGATGTTTCTGGAGAGTTTGGAGGGTTATGACCTTGCCAATCACAGTGATCCTTCAAGGGCCTGGAATATATTTGGGGGTTAGGAAGGGGCATGAGCAGGAGGAGATGAGTTTGGGGGGCTGGAAAGAGGCAAGATCAGGAGGAGATGAGTTTGGAGGGCTGGGACAAGGTATGAGTTGGAGAGAATGGGTCTGGAGGCTCTGGAAGGAGCAATAGCAGAGGGAATGGGTTTGTGGGGAGCAGAGAGAGGTACAATCCAGCTGTTAAGGGAAGTTCTAGAACTGTGGCTTGCACAGAGGCAACAAACTCAAATTCTTGCAAAACTTCAAATTGTCATCTGGGGTTTGGCAGGTAATAGAAGGAGGGAAGCCAGTGGGTAGAAGGGAAAATCATGTGCTCATCATGGCCTCTCCTTCCTTGTCCTACCTTTGATGGAGACTTGGTTTCAGGGAAACACATGTTTACTTTAAGAAGAACAAGAGAAGGACTCTGGTCTGGGCGGCAAAGGCGAGAGGGTGAAAGGAATGTTGGGAAAGCACCATAAGACACACCTTAGGCCTTAGGGCTGTAGCCTCCAGCATGTGACCTGTGGCAGGTGTGGCTGTCTTGAAACCCCAGTGCCAAGGCTGAGAGACAAAATGCCCCCTGGGAGTGGTCAGTGAAGCTCCTAAAATCTTGGACATGGTGATTCAGGATTGGGGTCTGTGAAAGAGCAATACTAAACCCAGAGGACAGCTCAACAGCTTCCAGGGATCTTGAGGATTTCAACAATTAGTTGTGCAGTAAATGTGCTGGTTAAAAAGAGAGAAAAAAGGACAACTAAAACAAGGAAAACAATGAATGGTGACTGGCCCAGCCACAGGGTCCATGAGCCCCGAGGGATGGAGGAGATGATGGAGTTTTGGGGTCTCACCCCACCTGCCCTATCTCGAGGGGTGACCAGGCAGGGGCCCCACCCACCATCATCTTGGGGGTGATGTCCCCAGAGGGCCAGACCTTCTGAGTCACCCAAGAGATCACAGAATGGAAGGTTTGTGTGTATAATTTCCTTATTAAATACATAGTATTTGTACACATTCTTATTTTTACTCCCTCCCTGCTACACACATTTTTAAATGTTTCCTCTATTTAAGAAAAAATACCATATAGACATTAAATCTTCAATGTCATTGATTGTAAGCCATTCTGATATTTAATAAACTACTAAGAACGAAAAAAAACCTGTTAATTAAACCATGACAACCCATTGATTATAAGGCAAATGCCAATTCCAAAGATGTCACAATGTGAAAAAAATGTGCATCTTAGAATTCAAGAAATACTGCACATCAGTAGGCTGGACTTGGTCTTTGGCACCTTGTGCAGTTTCCAACCTACACAACTGGACTTAGCAACCCTCAGGACAGCAGCCCCAGGACACTGGAGGACTTGGGAACCCTCAGGAAGTTTGTACTGAAGTCACATTTATGAAACCCATATCCCTGGAGAAGAAGCACACCCTCTTCCATCTTTGTCTGGACCAGGAGTGAATCAAGGCAGCAAAGAGGAAAATGGCCCAGTTCGTTCAAACAGGTCAGTAGGTCACTAATGGTGCCACCAAGACCTCCAAGATGTTGGTGAAGTAGACACGGAGGGGCTGGTGTGTTGCCAGCTTCACAGGGATTCTGATCCTTGTTGGGATGGGAGCTACTAGAAGGAGTCTCACACGTGCTTTTATATAAGCCCAGAGAAGAGAAGGCGCTACCCAGCGTCACACAGCTGGGCAGAGCAGGGCCAGGCCAGGAACCCAGTCCCAGAACTTCAAACCCAGTGCCCAGCCTCCTGCTGACTCTAAAAGCTCCTCCCACTCAACCCCAAGGCAAGGGCCCCCAAGGGCTGACCCTCTGGGCCCTCTCCCTCATTCCAACCCCCCCCCACCCCCAAGCTCTGGTTGGGAGCTCATCTTAGAAAAAGCACCTTTATTTGATTCACAAGACTTTTGAATTTTATTAGTAAAATACAAAATGGCACAGACATTAGTGATAGGGTTGGAAAAGCAAAAGGATCAACCAATTCCTTCCAAAGGTCCTCCCCAAATTGTCCTTGTCCTGCTTGGGAGAACTAGCAAATCCACTGGAGGGGGACCAGCTGGCCCCAGCTGTTTATCACAAAGGAAGGGAGCCTTGTCACGGATGCCCTGCCCCTGGAAGGCTCTCCCAGCCTGCAGGAATCTGCAAAAGAGCATTCAAACCTCACGCACCCCTCTCTGAACCATCAGGCAGAATCCCGACTTGAGACAGGCCTAAACTTCCTGCATATGCCCAATAGGAGGTGCAAGAAGGCCAGGTGGGCAGAGCAGCTTGGCTTCCACTCTGGACCAGACCTGTGCTGAGGTCCGTCTGCAAAGAAGCATCATCGCACCTGGCGGGAATCCTGGTCCAGGAGGCTTCTCTGGTGAAAGGCTAGGGCCACCTGAGGGACAGAGGGGGGTGGGGAACTGCCCCCAGGCACCCTGAGTGGGGCCCTATCAGCTCAGTCAGCCTTCAGCCTTACCCAGGCCTGCCTGAATCCTCAGCAACCAAAAAGAGAAACTCTGACTTCATGTCCACAACTTCCCTTTCCTTGCTAGCCGCTCCCCACAGGACAGAGTCCCTTTCAGAAATAAACACAGGAATCTCAGGGTTTCGGTGGTGGGTTCTGGTCTCATGGAAAACGTCATGGAAATTCCTGACCCTGTGTAGGTGGAGGCAAAGGTGAGGAGAGATTTTGAGGCTCAGAAAATAGCATTTTCAGGAAGTAAGAGAGGGAGAAGGGGAACGCAGGCCTCAGGAAGAAAAAAACAAATGCTGGACTCGGGGTGTGTGGGGATCAGGGGACACCGGACCAGGCTGCCAGTGCAAGTCCCTAACCAGGAGTGTGGCTGCTTCTGTGGCCACCCCAGCTCCTTTCTGGAAGGGCCTTGGCCTCCCTGCGCACCTGCAGGCTTCCCTCCCGCCTTGGGCCTGGCACTCGGCTGTCTCAGTGTCCCTGTGAGCCTGGTGGACACAGAGAAGGGATGTTTTCAAGGCCAGGGAAGGGCCTTCCCAATTGGTCTGTGCCCCTCAAGTACCTAGCCCAGGCCCCACTCTGGGGGTCCACCATGCTGACCCCGTCGCAGGCCCTCTAGGGCCCACAGATGTGCTGATTGGCGGAGGCTGCTCAGGCGCTGTGCTAACAAAGGTGGTGAGGCCCCACCTAGTCTGAGAAAGGGGTCTCTGGGCCACTTAGGGAGCCTGGCGGGGGTTCAGGTTATTGCCACATACTTGTCATCCCTATTTCCTTTCACGAACAGCAAGTCAGAGGTACAAATGCCTTGTGGGGTCGGTAGGGAACCTGGGGCTGGAACCCCCAGCCTCACACTCACAGTCAGCGTTTCTGCAGCGGGCAGCAAGACTGGGGGCAGAAAGAAATCAGAGCCCCGGGTAACTTCATCTCCCCTCCCCGCGACACCAGCCTGACTGAGGCAGCGTCTTTGCTGGCGGCAGTCCCAGAAATATCACGCCAGCCTCATGCAAGAAAAGACAGGTGCCCAGCTCGGGCTGGGGCGTGGGCTCAGTGCAGGGACAGGGAAGATAGCACCGCAAGTGGCCGGGGGGACTGGCGACTGCAGCGGGACCAGGAGACACGATGAGGTCTGAGGGGGTGGCAGAGGGGCCTGGCCTGAGGCTCACTTGTGAGATGGGATGACCATGTGTCCACATGGGGACGTGGGTCAGAGGGGTTAGTTGTTTAATAAATAGTTGTTCGTTGGGGCGAGGACGGTGTCTAAGGGACCCTCTAACCAGCCAGCAGCAGAGGAAAATATCCTGACTTGGGGACAGTGGGGTGAGTTGAGAATCCACCCCATTGTCCCCAGAAGGTCAAGGATGGTCAAGGGTGGCCTCTGGGAGCTGGGAGCAGTCCCATCTGCTCTGGTCATCCCAGCTCAGCTCAGGCCCTTGGCGAGGGTGGGTGTGAGGATGGGGGACCCCGGGCAGCTGTCTGAATTGAAAGAGTGGATGCAGGCGGGTGGACGGCTCACACCGGCACCAGGACGTATGAGTTACTCCCGCAGCTCCGGGGGACGTAACGCAGGCCTTCCACCATCTCCCCTGCCATCTTGCGGGGGCAGCCCTGGAGGCTCTGGTAGGCGAACATGGCCACCCCCACGCAGAAGAGGAGGCCAAGGAAGGCCAGCAGCCCCACCGCCTGCCTCCGGGTGGCCACCTGGGAGTCAGGGACAGGGGTCATGAGGACACCCAGCCTCTGGGGGTCCACCGTGGCGTGGATGGTCTCCTCGGCCTTGGGGGCCCAGCTACCTGAGGCCACCGGCTCCCTGCTGGGATCCCCCTCAGAGGAGACCGGGACCACAGAGACATGGGGCAAGCTGCCAGGCCCCATGACAGCATCGGTGTGAGCTGAAATGGGACCTGGCTCCTCGGGCCCTAGAGAGTTCTCTGGCACAGGGTCTTGCTCCTTGACCCACACAGACTGGCCATCAGATCCAGCGTTGTCCTCTGGGGCTGTGTGTGAGATGGTGGGGGCCTGGGTAAAGGGGGCCTGGGTGGGGAGGGTCTGGGTGGAGGGGGCCTCGGTGGAGGGGGCCTCGGTGGAGGGGGCCTGGGTGGTGGGGGCCTGGGTGGGGGGGGTCTGGGTGGGGGGAGCCTCAGAGGCCTTTCCCTCAGCCCAGAGGCCTGACTCCGGTTGGTAGGCAGCAGAGCTTGGCCAAGACGTGGTGGTGGTGATGGCAGCCCCACCGAAAGGCTCTGTTCTCCCGGGCCCAGCTGGAGGCCCACCTTCTGGAGCCTTTGATGTGGAGGGGGACCCAGTTCCCCAGGAGCCAGCCACTCTTGTCGGCAGCTCTGGGGAAGTCCCCAGGGCCCTCTGTGCCTCCTGGCCACTGCTTTCTCCTGTGGCTTTGGGCTCTGTGGCCGCTGACTCGTCCATCGCCCTGGCGGCCGGGGTGGTCCTGGGCTTGCCTGCACCGATTTGCTTCTCGAATGTGCCGCCATTTGAAGTCAGAGCAGCAGCCTTGCGGTCTAGATGCTCCATGGCATTCTGGACCCATTTCTCTTCTGGGTTAGCGCAGAAGAACTTGTGCAACTTGGTCTCCAAGCTATAAGGAAGGAAGACAGGAACCCGGTGACGCCCAATGCCCTGTGGCGTCGGGCCCCTCGCAAGTGCTCAGCGGTGAGCAGGTGAGCTCATCAGATGCCACAGTGTGACCTCTGCAATGTCCACATCCTCACCTGAGATGTAGAGGTGGACACCTACCTCCAATAGGGTGACCAACTGCCCTGGAAAAGCTGGGACTGGGGGCCTCCCCAGTGGTGCAGTGGGTTGAATGCAGCAGGTTGAGCGCAGTGCTGTGAAGCTGTTCACAGCCTCTGCAGCGCGGGTTTGATTCCTGGTCGGCCAGGGAGATTCCCACATGGCGCAGCAGACCTCTCCTGTCTCGCCCACAGCTCCCCTCATCAGTGTGTTTTGACAGTCTGCCTGTTCTGTTCCCCGCTCTGTCTCTGGTGAATCCTTTCACCCTCCCGCACCTCTGGCCTTACCCCAGTTCTTGTATAAATAAATAAATCTTTAAAAAAAAGGAAAGCTGGGACTGGCTGAGGTGGGGTGGGGGGGACTCAAGACGCAGGACTTTTTGTGAAGGTGGCAGTGAAATGGGCCCTACTTCTATGTTATATGAAAAATGAAAATTATGTAAAGGCCCTGGCTCAGAGTAGGAACTCAGCAATAGTCAAAAATAACAACAATGTTGAGAATAATGTTTCCATGAAGGTGGGGGGTCTGGGCTGTGTCTTCTGATTGAGAGGAGACATCACAGGTGTTCTTTGCCACCAGGTGTGTGACTGGCAAGCTGGGGGGTGGGGGTGGTGGTTGTTCCTTATTCTGGAAAGGGCCCTATGTCACAGTGTCTACTTCCTCCTTTCCCGCAGGTACAGGCTTCTGCACCCCTCCCCCCCTCTCCCTGTGTGTGTCTTCAGACTGAAAGGCCACTGAGTAAGCTTTTATCCGAATCTTGAGCTTTGTCTGAAGGGGTATGTGTGTGTGTGTGTGTGTGTGTGTGTGTGTGTGTGTGGTGTCATGGCCAAGATCACAGCTCAGGTCTGACTGCAGCCCTGGCTCCCTTTCAACCTCACTCTCATCCTGCCAGGTGGCTACCATGCTCATCCCCATTTTACAGATGAGAAAACTGAGGCTCAGTGAGGTCCTTAAATGCAGCTGGCGCCAGCATGCTGGGAAGCCAGAAAAGTTCAGGAAGCAAGCGTGACCTGCAGGTCGCCACAGGCAAGGTGCTGTCCCAGGGCCAAGATCCCCTCCCGGGGCCTCCCACTTCCCCTGCACCTAGAAAACAGAAGCAGAAATGAGGCGGGGAGGGGAACAGCCGTGACGGGTGAGCAGAGAGGTCAGGCCATGCATGCTTGCCCTTCTCAGTAACTGCAACCTTGACTCTCTTCGGCCAGACCTAGACTTCCGGAGGCCACTGGCTGTTTCCTGCTGCCAGGTTCCCCCAACTCGCTGAGGCTACTTTAGGGAACAAAGGCCAGTTCTGGGGAAAGTCCTGGGGAAAGGCCTTAGGGCTGGGTTATTGGACTGTACCCAAGAGGGGCCCCAGAGATGCAAGCAACCAACACAGCCAGCGGTCTCCTCAGTCTACAGGAAAGCTGGCATGGCTGGGCCCCCTCCCCAAAGTCTCATGGGAAGCCCTTTCCATGTCTGACAAGTGGACAGTATAATGTCTACCTGTCCTCAGCAGCAGCTCCCTGGTGCTCTGCCAAGGACTTCAGTGACTTGATCTGTCATCTTCCCAGTGACCCACCATGGCCTCGGGGCAGAAGGTTGCCCTTGGGGCCCGGTCACCCCACCCGTAAGTGGGGACGCTGGGATTTGCATGGACCCTGCTTCCTTTTACCTCCCCATGGAATCCAGCAGGTTTGAGGGCTGCATAAGCCTCATGCTGGCCTGGGAGGAGCCTCTACCCTTGGAGGTGGCTATGGACCATTCAGGAAGCCATTCCCCACCTTTGCCTTGTGGCACAGATATTAAGTCAGCATGGGGGCCAGTGGGCCAGGAAAAGAGGGAGCCTGGCATTGGGGTGGGGGTGTGGACGTGGCTCGGCAGAGACGGGGAGCCACCCACAGTCTTGACAGGAACACGAGGCCGCGGCGATACCTACATTATGGCGCGTCTGCCGCAGGACTCTTGATTTCGCTGGTAGTGGATTAGGCGGTCCACGGGGATCTCCGAGGTCATCTTGTTGCATATGAAGGTGCATTTCTTCACACCGAGGTGCTGTCCTGAGCCACAGAGGCCCCCAGTCAGCAGGTTGTCATGGCACTTGGCTTTCCAGCCCCAGGCCATTGCATCCTGGCCACGGTGCACAGCCAGAGCCAATGCCCCGTGCAGCCAAGCCTTCAAGGACCTTGACCTCAGCGCCCTCCCTCACTCAGACCTCTCCATGCCTCAGTTTCCCCACCTGTCAAATAGAGGCGGTGATAGTATCTACCTCATAGGACTGTTATAAAGATCAAGAACAATGAATTCTTACTGATCAAGCTCGTATGGCCTGGCACATAGTAAGCTCTTATTTTTAAAAATTAAGTTACTGTTGTTGGTTTGTTGCACAGTGGGGGAGGCGCATCTGAGAGTGGCAGGGGTCTGCCTAAGGTCACACAGGCAGCAAGCAATGGAGTAGGCTCTCCTACCCGACCTGCCTCCCATCGCTGCTGGGCCCAGGTTCTGCCACCCTGCCCATCCCCCCAACACATACACTGCCCATTCCTCACCCCCATCCATATGCGTGAATTTTCATGACCTCACACCCAGACCTCTGTCCATCCTTACCTCTGTGCCCACCATATCACACACACACATACACATGCATATACATATGCCAACAAACACAATGGCACAGAAATGGATCCCCCCAGAAAACACATAAAGGTGTACATGCAACAAGGCACGTGTGGAAAAGGGGGTGCCTCAGCAGATGAGCCTTTGTTCCCCACTAAGAGCCAGGATGTGTGAGAGCAGTTGCTGACTCAACCACTGAGAGTAACTGCAGAGCAAGTAACCCCCGGAGCAAGTCGGGGGTCAGGACCAAGGAGGCAGCGTGGAGAAAGGTTATCGTGGGTGAAAGGCACCAGATGGCTGCACATGTCACCAGAGAGGAATCCCAGCACAGGATAAAGGCCACTCAACAGGCAGTTGAGAACCCAAATATTTTATATAAGAATTTGAAATTGTTTGTGTTACGTTTCCTCCTTCCCCCTTCCCCCCAAAACCCCCAACAAAATTTACTCTGCTTGGTATAAGGATCCAGAGGGGTATGCTAAAAATGGGGAAGACCTGTGTTTTAGATCTGGGTCAAGGTCACAGGCAGCAGAAGCAAGACTCTGAAAGGTTATGTGGAACTGTTGGGGTCAGGATTTCTGGGGTGGTAGAGAGCACACTGACCTTACCTGGGTCTCCAGGAGGCCCCTACCTGATCCCCAGAGCTGCTAAAACACTCTGCCTTTCAAAATCAGGCACGTGAACACACACGCACACACACACACACACACACACACACACACACACACGCACAGAGCCTTAGAGAATCTGCTGCATCCTCTTCCCTCTTCTCCCATCATTCCACCTTAGCCTCAGCCCATGCACCTGTGGGAATTCTGGCTCAGGGCCTGCAGCGCTGGGCTGGGCCATCAGGCGGCAGTACTAGCAGCCCTCAGTGGGGAAGGGGTCTCTCAGCTGCTGGGCTCTGAGTCACAGGCAGCCCTTTCTCTCTGAAGAAGCAGGATGTGAAAGTTCCCTTCAAGCTCTGTCATCCTTGTCCCCTGGGGGGCGTGGAAATGACTCAGCTGCAGCCTCTCAGCCCTGTTGAGCCAGGAGGCAGGACCTGCACTGGTCTGACAAGGATCTTCCTGGGGAAACCCCAGAAAATGGTGACCTGGAGGTGGAGGGGGGGAGTAGGGAAGGCCAGTTTGCTCTCGCTTGACTCTGTTTCCCAGGATGGAGAAAACCACTGGCCGCCTCCAGGGGTGCGAAGGTGTGTGGCCTCTTTGGCCAAAGTCCCCTCCACTGTCGTGGTGCCTGAGGCCCTTGGGGGGCTCTGTTCTTGGTTCTGCCCAGGAAGATTGTAAAACTACTCTGAGAGGGGGTGGTGCGGGGAGAGGGTTTACTTCTCAGCACTGAAGTTTGCTGTAATTGGAGATAATGCCTTGGTCTAGCCAGACATCGATTATCTGTCATATGAGTGTCAGGAGGCAGGGACCTTGTCTGCCTTGGTCACTATTCCCAGCATCAGGCACAGGGTGGATACTCCATAAATATTCATTGAGTAGAATAATATATCCATCTACTTATCCTTCCATCCATCCATCCTCCATCCATCCATCCATCCATCCATCCAACCCTTATCTACCTCCTCTCATCAATTTCCTACACATCCCCCTCTACAACCCACCCATCCCTACTTACCCCCACCCAGCCTCTACCCACACCCCACTTACCCACCCACCATCTGTCTGTCCCACCCCCATCCTTCCTCCATCCACCCTTCCCTCACCAACCCACTCACCCATCACCCAGCCAGCCAGTCATCCATTTCCTGATTTAGTCAACACTTGTTTGAATTACTTTTGAGTATCTACAGAGACTTCAATTCTAATAAATCCCAATAAATGCTATCAGCTTGCCATGTTTCCTCTGTTAACCAACACATGCCAAGCCTGCACCTCACCAGGCCCTGGGCTGGGTGCCATGAAGCAGAGTGGAACGAACCAGATCCACCTTTGCCCTCAAAAATATCCTCACATGAGGGGCAGCTAAGATCCACCATGAAGTGGCAGAGCATTTCTTAGTTAAGCACCTACTATGTGTCAGACCCTGTATTCAGCCCTTGCATGTCTGCTCCTGTTAATTCTCAGCATCTCTGCAAAGGGAATATTTTGCTAAGACCCACCATGAAGTGGCAGAGCTTTTCTTAGTTAAGCACCTACTATGTGTCAGACCCTGTATTCAGCCCATGCATGTCTGCTCCTGTTAATTCTCAACATCCCTGCAAAGGGAATACTTTGTTTTCATACTGCAGATGCAGAAACTGAGAATCAGAGAGCTGAAATGACTTGTACAATGCTACTTAGCTGCTTGAACAGTGGCAGATCTGGTTTTCCTCCCAGACCCGAAATAGCTCACTATTCCACACTCAAATGCCAGGTAGACACAGCATGTTCCACCATGTGCTAGGGTTTACATGAGGGAGAGACTACTCCAACCACAAGTAATCAGAGGAGGCTTCTTGGAGGAGGTGTCTTTTAGGCTGGACCCTAAGGACTACTAAGAGGCTTATAAGCAGGAAAAAATAGGAATGTTGGTGGTCTCTGAGTGAGGTGACAGGAAGAAGATTTGAGCCACTGCTCAGCTGTGTGTCTGGGATGAGACACTTAGGCTCTCTAAGTCTCAGTTCATGTATCTATAAAATGGACATGATCATACCTGCTTCTCAGGGTGCTTGTGAGAATAAACAGTTTTAAATAGCTGGACCTTTGGAGCAGGTTTTCTTAAAAACAAACACCAAGACAGTTCGCACCAGATAATTCTTAGCCATCAGCTCTGCTTTGCACTCCAGTGTGTTCAACATCATCGAAGCTCTACCCACTGAGCAAACCCCAAGCAAAAAATGTTGGGGCATTGGTCACAACCAAAAATTTCTCCAGAAATGGCCAAATGTCCCCTGGGGGTCAAATCCCCCACTGAGGACCACTGCCTAGAGACACCCACGGGGCTCCCTTCCACACCTATCCATATGTACCCTCCTCAGCCAGGCTTCCCTGACCCCTACTGAAAATGTCAACACTTCCCCCCACTGCCCACACTCCATTTTCTAAAAATCACAGCAATTTTCCCCTTTGAACAGACCACGTTGTTTACTGATTTGTTTTGTGAATTCTCTCTCTTCTTGGGTCAATGTTCGGCATCTGAATGGGGGGCTCTCTGGCCTTTTTATCCACTGATGCAGACCCAGCACCTAGGACAGTGCCTGGCACATAGTAGGTACCCAATAAATATTTACTGAATGAAAGAAAAAGATGTATAAGGAAGTGCTTTGAGACACATAAAATCTGAACCTACAGAGAAACGGCCATTTTTATTTAAATTTGACAGAGGCCAGGATCTGACACCCTGAATTTACCCTCTTGCCTTCCTCATACACCCCCACCACTCATGGGGAGACGGGGGGAGCAGACTAACAGCAACTTAAAACAGAATCTTTTTCCTTCTTTCTTGCTGGGGCTTGAGTGGGAGTGAATGCGTCAGTGCTTGGGGAGAAAAATCCTCTTCCCTGACTTGTATCTGCAGGTTTGTTATATAAAGTAGGGGGAGCCTCCTCCTGACAGCCCTGCAAACCCACATTTGGGAATTGACGTAGCCGCCCTGCACCAGCCAAGGCAGCAGCCACCGAGTCCCCAACCCCCTCCTCTGGGTGGCCTCCCTGGCTTCTGGCACTCATAGGACAGATGATTGATGTCTGGCTGGACCAAGTCCTGCAGGGGCTCCCAGGGATTCTCTGAGAGCCCCCAATATCCGCATAGGTGAGAACCTCCAAGGCAAACCTGCCCGAATGCCCAGTTTTTATAGAAGGAGGAACTGAGGCTCAGAAAGGTTGAAATGATTCAAATATCTTCCAGCAAAGTCACAGACCAAGATTATATTCTAAAGCCTCAGGCTGCTGATGTTTCCAGGGACTCCCCAGAAACCCCTCCCCATCCTAGGAAAGGAACCCACACCTCCTGCCCACCTCCACTTGCCCCCCCCAGCTCCGAATAAGTAATCCTCCTCCTCGTCTTTCCAGAATGTCCTGGTAGGCACTGGATTACCACCACATAGGAGGCAATAAATATATTTAAAGGTGCTGCAGCTGGGATCAAAAAGACCCCTCAGGTCATGACTATGACAAAGCAATAGCCACCTGGTTCCCCGTCTTCCAATTTTCACTATCCCCACACTCAGGCCTCATGGTTCAAGCCCAGGAAGCAGGAAGCCCAGCAACACCCCACCTTTGCCACCCCCACCCCACCTGCTCCCTCTCTCCCTTATGGGTTTTCCCCACAGAGAGGGACCCAAGAGATGATTTGCTCCATGGAGAACCCTGGAAGCTGGAGACTGGCTCTCACTCTCCCAGAATTGCTGTGTGCCCTAAGGCAGGTTGCCACCCTCTCTGAGCCTCAATGGGCCAGGACACTCCCTCAGGACTGGGTTGACTCTAATGGTTCCCAGAAGCCTTGAAGCCCATGGAGGGGGGGCGGTGGGGGGGAGCAGCCATCCGTGCTTGCTCCTGCGTCCACGCTGTCCTCACCCGCCCCCCTTGCTGACTGTACATCTTTACGCCAATTTCTGAATCTTTTTGGGCCTCCATCTTATCATATCAGGTGGGATGGCTCCATCATGCCCTACCAGCTCTCCAGAAAGCCGGTGACTGGAGGCAGAAGCATTTTCCAAGCTGTGCTTGGGGAAGGAAGACTCTGGTGGAGGGATCAGGGCTCCAGACCAGAGCAACAGGGACAAGCCCAATTCGCGCAGCGATGACCTTGACTTCCTCTGGTCCTGGACCCTCTGCTTCTCAGGAGGCCCTGAGATCACGGCAGGGTCCTTCCTTCCTCACCATGGTCTGACTTGGGGCCAGAGCTGAGTCTCTGGTGTCAGAGCTTCGGGTATATGTTAACCCTCATCTGGGAGACCCAGTCCAGTGTCAGCCCGGGCTCCCCTGGGGCTCACCAGGAGCCCTGTCAGGCTGCCCCAGACCCCACCATCCCGGCACCCCCACCCCTGGCACCCTGCGCTGCCCCCACCACCTCTTGCCACTGCCCTGCAGTGGCACCTTCTCCCTGGACCAGGCAGGGGCGGGCTCTGGAGGCTGGAAATCCTTCCAGCAGGCGCGATAGCCCTGCTCAGGTGGGGGAGGGGGCATATCCCTCAGGAAGGGGCTGCCTGGACCGCAGTGTGGGGTCCTGATGAAAGCCCAAAGGGCAGAGGTGGGCTGGGGACGCCCCCTCCCTGCTCGCGTCCCCTCTCCCCCACTCACCGGCCAGCGGCATGGTCATATGGCAGAGGGCAGCCAAGCGGAGCAGCCACGAGAGAGGTGGGGGGGACATGGTTGAGGGTGGGCAGGGGTCCAGGTGGGGGTCCAGGCGGAGTTCCGCGTGGGGGTCCAAGCAGGGCCAGCGCAGGCAGCTGAGGCCAGCGTTCGGCTCGGCGCTGTGTGTCGCCTCTCACCAGAGCTCTGTAGCTTTTTATAATAGAGCTGGCTGCTGCCTCTGCCTCCGCCTCCACCCCTCAGGCAGGCGGATGGGAGGGGAGGGCGGGAGCAGCGTGCAGTGGCTGCATTCCTGGATGTTGCCTAGGAACGGAGCTGAGAGCTCTGGTGAGGGCCCTTGGCAGGGGCACGCGACTGGTTGTTCACCAGGCTCCTCAGGCCCTCATCACCCTCAGACCTGCCTGGAGGAGGGGCCAGCTGGGTCCTTTTGAACTAGCTGGTTCAAAGGCCTCCTCCCCTCCCATCCACCTGGGGCCACCTCCTTCCTGGGAGCTGGTACAAGACAAAGGACCTGGCCCGGGCCCTCGCTCCCAAGGGGGTAATAAACTAAAGGGCTGAGGGGCAGAGGGCTAGACAGGGCTGGTGGCAGGGAGGGCCTCCGTGCTCTGCCAGTCTGGATCTGACAAACTCACCGGTGGTCTGGATGGTGTCTCTCCTACAGACAGGAGGACCCCAATCTTCACTCCTTAACATCCTAGGTCTGGGCCTCTCCTGGTGGTGCAGCGGTTGAGCACTGGGCTGCGAAGCTGTTTGCAGCCTCTGCAGCACAGGTTCTATCCCCTGCCTCCGGGCGAGGTCCCACACGGTGCTACAGACCTTTGCTGCCACCCGCTGCTCCCCTCAGCAGTGTACTGTGTCGGTCTGCCTGTTCTGCTCCCCGCTCTGGCTCTGATGAATTCTCTCACCCTCCCGTGCTTCTGACTGTGCCCAGTGCTTGTATAAATAAATAAATCTTAAAAAAAAAAAAATGATCCTAGGTCCTGGGAGAACTTGTTCATCAAGTCCCCGGAGCCCAGCATGGAGCCCAGCACGGAGCCCAGCACGGAGCCCAGCAGACTGAGAGGCAAAGTATCATCCAACCCAACTTCAGAGAGACACGTGGGGAAAATGAGGCCCAGAGAGAGGGCTCGTCCAGTCCAGGTTATTCAGAGCGGGTGGAGAACGCATCTCCTGCCCCGCAGAGAAGACGAAACATGAGCAGGGCTGTGGACAGCTCAGAACTTGGGCTGCAGCCCTGGCCTTCCAGCCTCCACCCCCCACCTCTCCTTTCCTCCTTTGTCTCTCCTCTCCTCTCCCACTCTGGCCCCCCGCTAGCCTGCAGGAAGGACGTGTTGCCAAAATCACCCCATGTAACCTGGAGCCTCTCTGTTCATCCTAAATTCTGTACATGGACTGGAGAGGTCCTGCCTCTCTTGGGGCCTCAGTTCTCCATCTGCATGAGAAGGAGGTTGGCTAATCCCCTGGGGAGGGAGCTTAATGGCACTGACTTTGCAGGTTCTTCCTCTTTCACAGGTCGTGGGTGACATCACAAGTCGGCAAGATCAGCCGTCAGCTCCCACCAAAATGATGGAATTGCAGGCGATGGGTACGACAAAGCCCTGACAGCAGTGACAACTCCAGGGACTCCAGAGGAGTCTAGCAGGAGCCCAGCCCAGCCTGGGGCCAGGAGTTACGGGATCCCGGCTCTCACGTAGTTATCTCTGGCAACCAGTCAGAGGAAACCAGTTTGTGTGTGGGCTACTGTTCCAGGCAAGGGAGCCAATAGGTCTAGGTGGGGCTTGGCAAGGCCTGGGGACCTCTTTCACCAAGGTAGGCAGTGTTCCCTGGCGTTAGGAGGCTGGGCACTCCTTGACGGGGAGGAGCACCCCTGGCATGGGCCAGCATCCACTGGTGTTTGGAGAACCAGCTCGTGCAGACATGTTAGTAGCCTTCACATCCCCATTGTCCCTCATTTTATAGTTAGGGAATTGAAGCCCAGAAAGGAACAGGAAGCGATAAAGAACTAACATGAAAGGTTCTTGTGGCTCTGCCCAGGTGGTAGCAGAGGAGGAAAAGAAGGGGAGGAAGAGGATGAGAAGGGGCGAGGGAAATCCTACCCTTAATAAAGGGCAAAAGTGATGCAAAAGGTTAAGATGTAGCACCGCAGCCTCTTCTGTATGAGTTCGATGCCTGGCCAGGGAGCTACCCACATGGCGCAGCAGACCTCTCCTGTCTTGCCCGCTGCTCCCCTCAGCAGTGTATTTCAGTCAGTCTGCCTGTTCTGCTCCCCACTCTGTCTCTGGTGAATCCTCTCACCCCCATCTCTGACCTATGCCCCAGTTCTTGTACGCATAAATAAATTATTCTTAAAAAAAAAAAAAAGATTGGGCCAAGTATTTGGGAATAGATACCTTTGTTCCCCTGACCCCAGATTACACACAAAAGAAGTCTCGCAGGTCCTTAAATAAGATTTCATTCAATAGTTATTAAGCTATAACATTGCCAAGAAGAAACACTCCAGGCCAATGCAGAACAAAACAATGCTATTTGAAAACCCCGTTTCACTATACAACCTTTCATTTAAAGTTGTCGTTTCCAGGAACTACCAGTGTTAAGTGGGGACTTACCGCGTTTAGAAGACAAGGGTTTTGGATTCAAATAGCCGTGTCTGGCCCTACCTCTGTGTGATCTGACAGCTCCCAACCTCTCTGAGCTCACATATACTCCTGACAGGCATTGTTTTAAGTGTGTTTGTGACAACAAACCCAGGGTGTAAGCAAGATACAATTAGTGGGATCCACTTTCTGGTTGGGAAACTGACATGCAGGAGTTAAAGAATTTTCTGAGGATCATGAGCCAGGAAGTATGAGAGCCTGGGTTTGTCCCCAGCGGCTAGTTTTGATGTCTGAGCTCATGATCACCAGGCTACACTGTTTCCTTCCCCTTCCTGCAAGGACTTCTGCGAAGATCAAGTTAATCTACACACACAAGGTGCAGTTTCAGAGCCCGGCAAAAACAGATGCCAAAAGCACGAAGTACAACTCTGCTTTTCCTTGTTCAGCCAGATAGAGACAACAGCCCCTGAAAGAATCTTCCATTTCACAAGGAAGACACAACGGCTGAAGGGTAGGAAGCACCATTTACCCTCTGCTGACACTGGCGTTTCCATTCTCCAAACAGGTGCAGGGGCATCAGACTACAGAGCCGCACACACCCCAGGATTCTGGGCAAGCAGGATTATGCCTGCACCTGTAATCTTAATATAAGGGCAACATATCAAGTGAAGGAAAGACAGCTGTTTAGCTCACCCTCTAAAAACTAAAAATGAAGGGCCTCCCTGGTGGTGCCAGGGGTTAAGACACAGCACTATGAAGCTATCTGCAGCCGCTGCGGCATGAGTTCGATCCCTGGCCAAGGATCCCTGGCCACACGGCGCAGCAGACCTCTCCTGTCTCGCCTGCTGTTCCCCTCAGCAGTGTATTTCAGTAGATCTGCCTGTTGTGCTCCCCACTCTGGTGAATCCTTCACCCCCTGCACCTCTGGCCTGTACCCCAGCTCTTGTATGCATAATAAATCAATCTAAATAACAAAAAAAAAAACTTAAAAAAAAAAACTAAACTAAAAATGAAGAGACAAAGGAATATGCCACAAATGATGGAACAAAAAACCTCCCCAAATCTAATTCAACAGAACTAAGTAATTTACTTGATGAAGAAACTAAACCAATAGTTCCAAGTATGCGATTCAAAATAAGAAAACAATTGATAAACAAAATGAAACTAACAATAAGGATAGAGATAATGTGGGGCTTCCTTGACGGTGTAGGGGATAAAGTCTCAGCACTATTAAGCTATTGCCAGCCGCTGTGGCATGAGTTCGATCCCCAGCCAGCGAGGTAACCACATGGCGCAGCAGACCTCCCCTGTCTCACCTGCTGCTCCCCTCAGCAGTGTGTTTCAGTAGATCCACCTGTTTTGTTCCCCACTCTGTCTTTGGTGAATCCTCTCACCCCCCACACCTCTGGCCTGCACCCCAGCTCTTGTATGCATAAATAAATAAAAATCAATCTTTTTTAAAAAAGGATAGAGATAATGTGAAAAAGCATCAACTGGAAAAAATGAACTTAAAGAATTCTAACGTTGAACTAAAAAACTACAATAGAGGGCTCAACAGTTAACAAGAAGAAACAGCTGAGGCTCTCCTGCCTGCTTATGACTACACTGGTGTTTCTTTGCACAAACATTTTCCCTTTGCAAATCAGCAAAGGGAAAGGTTTCTAATAAACCTGTCCTTTTAAAATGTAAAAAAAAAAAAAAAAAAAAAACCCGAAGAAGAAACAGGTGATAAAATCTGTGAGCTTAACACACAACAGCAGAAAACACACAGAAAAACCAGCAAAAGGAATTAAAAAGAGAAAAATGAAAGAGCCTGATGGGACAATATTAAGAGAAACAATATCCACACCAGTGGGGTCCAAGAAGGAGAAGAGAGCAAGAAAGAAAGAAAAGAAATTATAGCTGAGATTCTCCCTAACATGGGAAAAGAAACAGACATCTTGATACAAGAGGCACAGAGTTCCAATGAAATAAATACAAATATACCCCCAAACCTTGTTACAATGAAACTCTTAAAAACTAATGATAAGGGGCTTCCCCAGTGGCGCAGCGGTTGAGCGCAGGGTTGCGAAGCTGCCCCCAGCCTCTGCAGCGCCGGTTCAATCCCCGGCTGCTCCCCGGCCACCGGAGGAGGGTCCCACATGGCGCACAGACCTCTCCTGCCGCCCGCTGCTCCCCTCAGCAGTGTCCTTCGGTCCTTCTGCCTGCTCTGCTCCCCGCTCTGGCTCTGGTGAATTCTCTCACCCTCCCGCGCTTCTGACTGTACCCAGTGCTTGTATAAATAAATAAATAATAAATAAATAAATCTTAACAAAAAAACCCAGCAAACTAATGATAAGGAAAAACTCTTAAAAGTGTCAAGAGAAAAAAAAAGTTATATGTAAGAGAAAGATTATCTGTGGATTTCTCAGTGGAAACCCTAAAGGCCAGAAGACCATGATATGATACATTTCAGGTTGTGAAAGAAAAGGATTTTCAACCAAGACTACTTGATTCTGCTAGGATACGGTTTATAGGGGTGGATAAAGAGCTTTACAAACAAACAAAAACAGAAAATTCACCATCACTAAATCAGCCCTGCAAGAAATACTAAAAGG